TGGCCCAGTAGAATGCTGAAATCATTATTATTAATATCACAAGCAAGTAAAATTTTGCTGAAGATAATTTTTAAATGGTTGCAGCAGTACATTAACATGGAGCTACCAGAAATTCACGCCAGATTTCGATGGGGACGTGTGTATATCATTGCTAACATCAGATGGATCTTGGCTGAAATAAGAGAATACCAGAAAGATGTTTACTTTTCTTTGATTGTGCAATGACATTCTACCGTAGGAATCATAACAAACTATGGATAATGGAAAGAATGGGAATTCCAGAACACTTAATTGTGCTCATGAGGAACCTGAACATATACTAATAGGCAGTCACTTGAATAGAACAAGGGGATACTGTGTGGTTAAAAATCAGAAAAGATGTGTCAGGGTTATATCCTTTCATCATACTTATTCAGTCTGCATGCTAAGCAAATCCAAAAAGCTAGACTATATGAAGAATGTGGTATCAGGATTAGACAAGGCTCAGCAACAACCTGTGATATGCAGATGACACAACTTTGCTTGCTGGAAGTGAAGAGGACTTGAATCATATGCTGATGAAGATCAAAGACTATATATTATATAGCCTTCAGTATGGATTGTACCTCAGTGTAAAGAAGGCAGAAATCCTCACAACTGGACCAATGTACACCAACACCATGATAAACAGAGAAAAGATTGAAGCTGTAAAGGATTTCATTTTACTTGGATCCATAATCAGTTCTTACCACATAAGCAGTCAGGATGTCAAATAACAAATTATAGTTGATTAATCTTCAAAATACTTCTTTAAAGTGTTAAAGAGCAAAGATATCACTTTGACCCAAGCCATGGTATTTTCAATCTCAATATGCATGTCAAAGGTGGATAATGAGTAAGGAAGATGGGGAAGAATGGATGCATTTGAATTATGGTGTTGGTAAAGAATATTAATCTGTTTTGGAAGAAGTGAGGATGGCAAGACTGTCTATTTTACTTTGGACAGGTTATCAGGAGGGACCAGTCCCTGGGGAAGGACGTCATGCTTGGTAAAGTGGGGGATCAGTGAAAAAGAGAAGACTTTTGGAGATGGATCGGCACAGTGGTTTCAACAGTGGATTCAAACATAAGGATTGTGAGGATGATGCAGAGGCAGCATGTTTGTTGTACATAGGGTCGCTATGAATCAGAATCAACTTCACCTTCCCTAACAACAAAAACATAGTGCTTTGTAGATAATTCTTTTAGTTGTCATGGCAACTCTATAGTTAATTACAGAAGATGAAGTTGAAGCTTTTATAGTTCACAGTTAATAGCTTTAGGAGTCAGGAATGGATATGATTGCTTTATGACTTCATTGTTTTCCACTCTTATGGTTCTCAAATTTTGCTTTGTGGCAAAATCACCAAGAAAGCATGTTAACAACATAGGACTCTCTGACCCTACTTGGAACTTCTGTTTATTTAGGTTCCTGGGACTTAGGAATCTCTTCTAGTTCTGGGATCCACTGCATGATGATGATGATGATGATGATATATTGTTAAATAAAAAACAAACAAAACGAAACTGTTAGAAATGTTTCAAACCCAGTTCTCTTTCAATGACGAAAGTTTTTTAATATAATGTTTTCCCTTTCTGGTTAGATTGGACCATAGCAACGTAGTAAAAGCCTGTGATGTTCCTGAGGAACTGAATATTTTGATTAATGGTGTGCCTCTTCTAGCAATGGAATACTGTTCTGGAGGAGATCTTCGGAAGGTAGTGTGGATGTTTTGAGATCATGAACTTTAGCAGAATCATATACAATATGATAATATAGGAGTTAGAAAGTTGCAACCTGCTGTTTTTGTAAATACGGTTTGAAATACTGCCATGCTCAATTTTTTACATAGTATCTATGCATACTTTTCTGTTAGCATGTTGTTGTTGTTAAGTGCTGTCGAGTCGGTT